AGGTTTTAAACTGGTTTTAAACTACAAAGTTAGTCGTGCCGACAGGGTCTCGGTACTTAGTATTTATAATTTTTTTAACTACAATTGGTTTACATCGACTCGGCCACAAGGCCCAATACATTGATTTTCAACTACAAGTCAGTCATACCGACTCGACCACAAGCTCCACTTGGCATACACCTTCAATCAGTCTAGACCGATTTATAGAATTTACACCTTCAATTGGCTCAAACCGATTTATAGACTTACACCTTCAATTGGCCTAGACCGATTTATAGACTTTACACCTTCAATCGGCCCAGACCGATTTATAGACTTTACACCTTCAATCGGCCCAAATTGATTTATAGACTTTACACCTTCAATCGGCCCAGACCAATTTATAAACTTACACCTTCAATCGGCCCAAACCGATTTATAGACTTTACACCTTCAATGTGCCTAGACCGATTTATAGACTTTACACCTTCAATCGACCCAGACAGATTTGTAGACTTACACCTTCAATCGGCCCAGACCGATTTATAGACTTATACCTTCAATCGGCCCAAACTGATTTATAGACTTTACACCTTCCATCAACCAGACCGATTTATAGACTTTACACCTTCCATCGGCCCAAACCGATTTATATATTTACACCTTCAATCAACCCATACCGATTTATTGGTTTACATCTTTGGCCTAGACCGATTTATAGATTTACACCTTCAATTGACTAAGACTGATTTATTGATTCACACCTTCAATCGGCCCAAACCGATTTATTGATTCACACCTTCGATCGGCCCAAACCAATTTATAGATTTACACATTCAATCGGCTTAGACCGATTAAAGGGCTTGCACCGCAGATCGACAAGTCATCAACCCAATCCACACAACGATCCATCCGACCTAACGAGTTGCTATCACTAATCCGCTCAGTCTGCACTCATTTGATTAAATCTACTTTCTAAGCTAAATACTCTTTAACTTAGAGAGTAGGGGGCTAACTGTTAGGGCCAAAAATCGTCTTGAGCCTGATGAGGCCCAATAACGAAATAAACATGTCACGGCCCAAGGCCTCAGCCCAATCCCGATTAGGCCTACGCTTAAAATCACCTTGTAAACTACCCACTCTATGAGTTGGGCTATCCTATAAGTTAAGCTAAACTGGGTTTCAGCTCATTAGCCTACAACAGTCCATAAACAGGAAATTAGAATCTCATTCTATTTCCTCTTCTACTAAGATTCCAAATCTTACTCAAACTATTAAACTTAACTTGATAAAGTCAAGAAATCATATTTATTTCCTGATAGGGATTATCTCCCAAAATAGGACTTAATGTCCTACTAGGATTCCAACCCCTTGGGTTCACTATATAAACAAAGGCCTGCCCTCTCATAAAGGAGGGAATCTGCCATAGTCAATCTACACTACTTAAAACCATTTATTTGCTCCTAAAGTTCTTACTCTCAAGAACCCGACTCCGCCGTAATCCTAGCCTCCGACAAGACTCCTGGTAATTCTTTATCTCCTTAATTCTTATCAAATAATCTTTTTCAGTCTTGCTGACTTAGGCATCGGAGTGCTTACGGCAAACACCACCCTGGTATTTTCCGGAAGCTTCACGCTTGTCCTTTCATGTGTGCAGGTCTAGCAGATTGTCAATGACCTCAACCTCACGAGATCATTCACCCTTTCCGTAAAGGTAGATTTTTGCATCTACATTTCCCCACTCCGAAATCGCTTTAAAATGGTACAATTTCCTAAATAAAGAATCGGTTTATCATCTTAAAATGAATGTACCGGTATATGTATGTTATATTCAACCTGAAATTGAAATACGACATTGTTATTAATATGTTCATCCAATAAATTATATCATAACACTACTATGCTACACCAGGAAACTGCACTTCCCTCACCAATATTAATGGTGCAAAAAGGTTATTAAATTTTCATCTGCTTTTCAGCACTGAGCATAAGTATGAAGTATTGATTTTTCCCTTGATTCTCTCAAACAGGTCATTATATATCGACGAAATAGGTGTCTTTGCTCTGTGCCTTGGAAAAGATTTTGCTTCTAGTGGGTTTCTTCATTCATTTCTTTGTCTGTTGATTTTATAATAGTTTTGTGATTTTTAATAGTTCCCCGAATTTTAAAATTAGAAAAGAAAACTAGTATTATTATAAGGATATGAGATATGAAAATTAGCTTTTGCAGTGGAGGATAGACAGTAGTTAAGTTTGATCATTACTATGAGTTCAACTAAATTGTGAAATTGTGAATTATGGTTAGCTTAATTTTTTTTTTTAAAAAAAAACTTTTTTTTATATACATATCAAGCTTTGAAATAAATATATAAAAGAAGAAAAATAAAAATTCTCATTATAATTATTTCGTTACTTCAAAATAGAAGATGTTAGATAAAAGAGGAAAATATTTCGCTTCCAAAAAAAGGTTTATGAATATCCTATGAAAATTAAGTGGGTGGAATTACAGCATGGATTTAAATTTCTAAACAAGCCTAATTAAATTAGCCCAAATTTAAACCACTGTCTAGAGAGGTCATAGGCTTATAACCCAAACAATTAATTTTCGATTATAGTTCAACCGGCCACCGCACCACGAGCCTCGCCTTCCAAATGACGACCACCACGAGCCTCGCCGTCCAACAGACGACCACCACCAGCCTATACATGATCAGTTTAATAAAATCTCTTAAGACATTATTAAACTGGATCCCACTTGATTAACCATTACCAAACAAGTGGCCCATCCACTAGAACTTAAGATAAGAATTGATTATCCTTAAAATGAATTAAGAAAATAAATGCAGCTCTATATTCGTCAATTTTTGTTCTTTTTATTTTATTTTTGTTTTTAAATAAATAATCAATTGAGTACAGATAACCATTTGTTTAATCTAATTACTGGCAAGCAGTGAGCTTCTGGCTTTTGGCTTTTCTTTACAGTCAGTACTTAACGTATTGACTAAATCAAAGGTTTGGCCACCCAGTGGTAAACAAAATAAATTTCGTCCCTAAGATAGTAAGGTTTGCTCTAAGTATTTTATTTTAGCCTTTTTAACTTTGTTAGTAATGTTTCGATACTATTGAGTTAATGACATTTTCATCCCTAAAATTTGGAGAAAGTGTCACTTTGGTCCAGTAAAATCTGAAAAAATTATTATAATCCCTATCAGTCTATCAGACTGCCACACTTGGATATTGTTTTCATACTAAAATGTCTATTATACCCCAATTTGTCTTATTAAGAAGAACAAATATAGAATAAAAAATTAGGACTTTAGAGATTAATATAATAAAATTACAATAAATAAAAATATCAAAATAAAATTAATAGAATTTGCAAATAATTAAAAAAATTAAAAAAAATTCACAACTAAAATTAAAAAATAAAAATAAAAATTCCTACCATAAAAACACAAAACTAAAAAAAATCCTCATATCAAATTTCATTTTATAATTTTATTATCCTTTATTTTTTATTTTATAATTTTATAAATTAAAATGATTCCTTCTCTTAATTTTATTTTTATTCTGAAAAGTGTAAAATGACAACCATACCGTTAAATTGTTTAATTTTGCCTATAACTGCAGAAGCAGAAGTCTAACCGGGATTATAATGACTTTATCAGATTTTACTGGACCAAAGTCTTTTGTGAAACCTCATTGACGAAAATGTCATTAACCCGATCCCAATTTGATCACTAAAATTTGCTAATAGCACTATAGTAATAGTAGGGACTAAAACGTCACAAACACTCAAATAGGGAGTAAAAGTTACAAAAGAAAATTTTGTAAGACTGGTCAAGCCAAACCTTAGGGATGATATCGTTATTTTCCCAAGTAAACGACTTTTTCCCACCCAATGTTTGGCCTAATGACACTTTCCAACCACAAAGTTTCAAAATATAATTTTACCACTCTTGTTAAGATCCATCCATTAAGTTAAACCAGAGAAGGACATAATAGTAAATTCAAAAAGTAGTTCAAGGGTATTTATGTCATTTTATCCCTTATATAAAAACCCTAAATCCTCTCAAATGCTATCGAGCCACCGCCACCCTTAAATAAAAACCCTAAATCCACTCAAATTGCTACAATGTCGTCGTTAGCTGATTCAAATCGATTTTAGCTGGTTTTCTCACCAAAACTAACAGAAATCTTCACTTCTTCATCCTTATCCCAACCTAATTGTCCAAGATTTGATCGGAATTAAGTTGTTTTCCACTGAAAAAACCCAACCCCTTATGCTGCCAATCCAGGGAAAATCAGCATGTTTCCGATGTCGTTGACCTCTGTCGACTCCACCAAAATACTCCTTCACCTCCGTCATCAAAACCCCTACCACTCCACACTTTTTAGCCACTATGTGTCGGTCATCGCACTTGGCTTGTTTCGCCTGCACCAAGCTTTTCCAGTCGATCCCGTCATTAGAAATCAACATCGACACCACCAAACACACCACCGACACTTCGTCTCCAAAATCTCCAACAAAGCCAATCTCGTTTGCCTATCGAACGCCGCTGATCAATGCTTCATTTCGTAGGGTTTTTTTTTTGATTGATGATTTGGGTGTAACTGTTTTGAGTTGTTTTGTTGGAAATCGACTAGTGAAGTTGGTTTAGAAGTGTTTGTGGTTGTGTGTAACTGTTTTTTAGGTCGTCGAATTAAAAGTGTTTGTGGTTGTGAGTGATTGTTTTTCTGGTCGCTAGAATCAAAGGTGGTGAATGAGAAACAAGAAAGAAAAGAATAAGAGAGAAGGTTATTTCTATCTTTACACCATTTATGCCATGTGACATTATGGATTTTCACAACGGAACATAACGGTGGGTGTGAAAAGTATCATTTTAAAAATTGATGGGTGGGAAAAGTGTCATTTTGAAACTTAACGGGTGGAAAATGTGATTACACCAAACCTTGGCCGGGGAAAAGTTGTTTACTCTTATTTTCCCTACGTTAAAACTTAAAACCACGATTCTGTAAGTGTGCTTTAGAGCCTAACTCACCAGACTCACCAGTCACCAGCGGTCTTTCGGTCAGAGAAGCAGATCTCACAACCAAAACGTCATCGTTTTCAGCGTACTTCTCTCATTCCATTGTCCTTCTTCATCATTTTTATAAAACCCAAACCCTACTGATCCGATCTTACTCTCATTCTCTTGACTCAGATCTCAATCTCGCAAAAATGTCAACTCGCTACATCCTCCTCCTCTCCCTCACAATTCTCCTCTTAATCTCCACCTTCTCTCCGGTTCTATCCAAATCCAAAACCGACGCCGTTGAAGACGACGACGAGGACCTCAGCTTCCTCGAAGAAGCTGACACCGACACCAAAAATGGCGCCGCATCAGACCACTTCGACGATGATGCTGATGCCTATGATGACTTCCCCGACGATTTCGATAACGACAGTTACTCCGATTTCGATGAGTCTGAGTACAAGGAACCGGAAATCGACGACAAAGATGTCGTTGTGTTGAAGGAACGCAATTTCAGTGATATTATCGAGAATAATAAGTTTGTTATGGTGGAATTCTACGCGCCTTGGTGCGGACATTGTCAGTCTTTGGCTCCGGAATATGCGGCGGCAGCTACGGAACTGAAGGGTGGAAATGAGAGTGTCGTTTTGGCTAAAGTTGATGCTACCGAGGAGACTGAGCTGGCACAGGAGTACGATGTTCAGGGTTTCCCCACCGTTTATTTCTTCATCGAGGGCGTCCATAGGCCTTATACAGGCGCCCGAAACAAGTAAGTAGTTTAAAACCATATATTCGTAATTGAATTGTAAATATTGTTATGATCTTATGTCGTGGCTGATCGCATGAATCATTTGCAATCTAGAGATGCTATAGTGACTTGGATTAGAAAGAAGATAGGACCTGGTATACACAACGTGACCACATTGGATGAAGCTGAGCGCATATTGACATCTAATGATAAAGTTGTTCTGGGTTACCTCAACTCATTGGTGGTATGAGCTTTTAGCTTTTAGTTTCATTGTTCAAAGTGGAAACTTTAAATTTGTGAGGGGTTGTACTCTTATGTTTTTATCATTGTTATTGTTCTAGTGTTTTGGTGACCTTTATTCCGTTGTAATAATTATGACAGGATTTAGAGAGTGAGGTGCTTGCGGCAGCTTCAAGGCTTCAAGATGATGTCAACTTCTATCAAACCGTGGATCCTGCTGTGGCGGAGCTTTTCCACTTAGACCCTAAAGTCAAGCGCCCTGCTTTGGTCATGGTTAAGAAGGAGGCCGAGAAAATAAGCTATTTTGGTTAGACTTTTTTATTTAATTTTAATTTTGATGGAAAACCTTGAAATTTAGTTGTTAAGGAGGATAATCTTTACACCCGTTCACTGTTTCTACAGATGGTCAATTTGATAAGTCTGCTATTGCTGACTTTGTATTTGCCAACAAACTTCCTTTGGTTACCATTTTTACCAAGGAGAGTGCCTCTGCAATTTTTGAAAGTACAATAAAAAAACAGGTAGGCGGTGTTTAAGTTCAATTTGACTTGTAAGAGAAAAGTTTTTTTTTTTGCAATTAGTTAGATTTGTGACTTTAGAATAAGTTACTTTTTGAATTATGAACTTACCTTGGTGACGTCATTGACGTGCCTAAATTTTGTATTCGCAGCTTTTATTGTTTACCACTTCAAATGATTCAGCTAAAGTTTTGCCAGTATTTGAAGAAGTGGCAAAAATTTTCAAGGGAAAGGTAATTTAAAATCACTTATGACTGAAGCTCGAGATTTGTTTCTTTTGCTTTGTTTTCAAATAACTAATTGATATGAATACAATAAAAACCTCATGCTCATTCTGGGTAACGCTTAATTATTGTATGATCTTTATATAAAATACGGATACATGGTAAGAGTCAGTGTTTTCTTTATCACTGCTGTGATAGATGCCGATGTTTTTACTTGAAAAAATTTTAAATGAAATTTGCTGGCTTGCTAATTTAGATGTTACCGTGTTTGATTGCAGCTTATCTTTGTATATGTGGAAATGGATAACGAGGACTATGGAAAGCCCGTAGCAGAATATTTTGGTGTCACTGGGAATGCTCCCACAGTAATCTTCCGGACCTTTTCTGTTTCTCTTTTAGTCTTTCTCAATGTTTTCCTCTTAGAATAGAATCTGGTTTCTTTGTGATTAATATAGATTGTGTATGTATGGAACTGAATTATTTTCTGCTATTTAATTCTCTATAGGTTCTTGGATACACTGGAAATGACGATGGTAAAAAATTTGTGTTTGATGGGGAGTTTACATTGGACAAAATGAAGGTCAAAATCTCTCTGTCAACTTATTTATGCTTATCATTGATTGTTAGAAGATTATGTTTTGAGCTAATTGTTCCTGGTTAATTATCACCCCTCAGGCCTTTGGCAAGGATTTCCTGGAAGACCAGCTCAAACCTTTCTTTAAGTCTGATCCAATTCCTGAAACTGTATGTTGATGTATTTTGCTTTCCTCTGAATTGTTTTGATATCTCATCACTCGGATTTATCTGTAATTATTTTTTTTTATTGACACAGAATGATGGGGATGTGAAAATAGTGGTTGGGAATAACTTTGATGAAATTGTTTTGGATGAGTCGAAGGATGTTCTTCTAGAGGTATCAGTTGTGCTGTGCTATATTTGAAAATAATCTTTTTTCTGTTTCTCTCTTTTTTCATGGCTGATTTCTTATGGTCTGCATGCCAGATCTATGCACCTTGGTGTGGGCATTGCCAATCCTTGGAGCCAACCTACAACAAGCTTGCCAAACATCTACGTGGCGTTGACTCTCTTGTTATAGCCAAGATGGATGGGACAACAAATGAGCATCCCAGGGCAAAGGTAATACTGATGTAATTCTTTAATTTGATGTATTAAAATGTCCAACACCTTTGTTATTAATTAAGCTTGCTTTCCCAGTCAATAGCAGTAGTGAACTGTAGGATGCAGATAGCATGCAATCCCACAAGCCTCTTATCGCCATCACTGTCTAAATGATACATTCCCTTAGAGGAGAGGATTACCATTTGTTCTCAGAATCTTTAACTAGTTTTAATATATATTGCCCTTTTAACTAAAAATTTCTAATGGAGTAAGTTTTTGGAGCTTAAACTTTTTCACAGCTTACTGAACAAGTCAATCTGAAGTGAGTTGATTTGAATTATTTGAATGATAGGCTGTAATAACATGTTCTTTTTCCATTTGATCTTTTGCAGCCTGATGGATTCCCCACTATTCTATTCTTCCCCGCTGGAAACAAGAGTTTTGATCCAGTAAGTGGCATCTTTTGCAGTCTGATTTGTTGTTTGTTGTTAGAATAATTCTAATGAAAATTATCTGCCTTATGGGTGTTGCAGATCACTGTAGACACAGATCGTACAGTGGTGGCATTCTATAAGTTCCTTAAGAAAAATGCATCAATACCTTTTAAAATCCAGAAACCAGCTTCGGCTCCAAAATCCGAGGCTTCTGATGTTAAAGAGAGCCATGAGAGCAGCTCCAATGAAGTGAAGGACGAATTGTGACCTACCAAAAAAAGGATGATGACACGCAAGTGTACTAATGCTAAGCTTTATGTACCGTTAATGTGTCATCAGCTGGTAGAAAATATATAGTTATCAGATAGTTTAATATAGATTGAGAAGCAAAGATTTTCCAGATTATGATCCCTTAAACCCCCCCTTTTTTTTTTGTTTTAACTTATAAAAAAGATGTATCAGCTATTCAGCTTTCAAGATCTTGTTTCTTCAGTCTATGGAAATTGTAATGAAGGATCTAATAAGAGGTGTCTTTTCTATTTAGGCCTTCTTTCTCTGGTTGTTGGATAGTTTCTCATTCGCGTCAATTTTACGAATTTTGTTAAAACTAATTAAATTTATTATTAAATAATAATTTAAGTTTATTAAATGAGTGATTTTATCATTTTTAAATACGGCCATTTTATTCTATTAGAATATTGTAGTCGATAAATTTTTTGAAATTGGAGTGGATTTTTTTTTTTTTTTTTGTTTTTTTTTTTTGGGGGGGGGGGGGGGGGGGTTATGGTAATTGATGGTCACTATTGCCCTTCTTACAATAAAATCCAAGACCTTGATCTTCTATATTCCTCAATCCATCTTCCACTCTAAGGCCACAAGGGGTGGTTAAATTGGAGTGGATTGGGTCAATAACAATATAGTTCAGGAGCAATCTAAGTTAAAAAATTATAAGTTTAGTTCAGCTATTATTAGGAATTATAAAATCAGAATTTATTTTTTCCCCCAAAAATTTGGCCGGTTGGCATTAATTATTTGACAATTAGCATATGAAATGAAACTTGTGATGGTTGGATTGGAAATTTTGGTAGGCAAATGTGTGTTAAAGGTATAAAAAAAAATATTTAAATTGGGTAGGGATTGTGTTTGATGCACGTTATGAATTAGCAAATAAGCAATAAGCATGTGCAAAGCCATTTGGAATTCTATTAAAATTTAAAACTGATAAATGGATATCCTTTACTTCAGCCTAAAATGGTGGGCGGCTCAGGATTCACATTCCACGAGAGAAAAGCAAAGGCTGTGTGTCCCTCACTTATTTTATACATTAGCCACATTACCATTTTGTCTTGCCTACCCAATAGGTTGAGCACAAGGAGAACAATAATATAATGCATTGCATTTTGTAATGTCAAATTAGACAAAGAATGGGCAGGGTCTTGACACGGTTAACAAATGGCTAAGTGTTTTAAGCAACTTTGACAAGTTTAGAAGGATCAACAAGGTTAAATTATGTCTTTTTACATCTAAAATTGAATTCTCAAGAATTTGGTTGTGTCAGTATGTTATAAACTTTAACCATGATATATATTTTAGGGTTATTAAAGAAGAATCAACATATTTTCATAAACTATAGATAAAATGTGACACAATCTAAGTAAGATATGTGGGCACTGTCAAATTAGCCAGCAATTAAACACCACACCACCACCTACACAACCACAAACACAGTTGGAAAAGGCAACAATAACTATCAAACTAACATTTTCCCCCAAACCAATCAACCTTGTCACAACTATCCCATTTATTTTTCCTTTGCATTAGTTATCTAAACCAATAAGAGGATATGGTTGTAATTAGCATTAAGAAGACAAGATTATTAAAAGAGGTAAACGACTTTTTCACACCAAGGTTTGCCTAATGACTTTTTCCACCTAGAAGTTTAAAATATCACTTTCCCGCCATAGTTATATTCTTTATTATTTAAAGCTGATTCCAGATCAAAAATTCTCTATCACACCATTTGAACTCGTCTTCTCTAGAAAACTCCTACCAATGGTCAGCCATGCAAAGCTAGGGTTTCTTATTCTTAGTTTATTTTTTACTTATTCCAATGGCGAATATTCAATCATTCACCACCATTGATCCGTGGCCTCTACTTTATAAAATCTCTTCTTATCCTATCTTGGTAACTCGCCGAATGCCACTGAGAAAGTGAAGTTATTTTAGGCATTAGCGAAATATAAATTGGGTGAGAAAGGGGTATTTTAAAACTTTCTAGGTGAAAAAATGTCATTAAAGCAAACCTTGGTTGGGAAATAGTCGTTTATCTAATTAAAACCATGGTTTGGGAATGTTGGTATTAGTTAATAAAATCTATGGGCGTCAGTGATTTTGTGAAACATAGGTGTCTCATTGTGAGGTTGAAAGTTAGAGACATCCCACAAAAATAAACGCTCCCAAATTCAAAACTAACCAAACCAATGCATAAATTATATGCACCGACTTTACGTATACCCAACTCTGCCACTAAAATCCACCGGCATTCCCGTGCCCCTCTCCTCTTCTTTTTATACTCAAACCCCCTTTCCTTCTCCTTCAACTCCTCCACAAATCTCTCTCTTATCTAAAAACTTCATTTCAATCCCCATTCCACGCGACGCCTTTTTCAATATTTGACCTCCTTATCATCTACGCCTTCAGATCTACTCCTTTAAAAACCCTCAGATCTGCATTACATTAACAAACACTTGTACTTCACTCTTCACTTCTCAAAATCAGTGAGCAATGGTGATGGCTAAATTCTTCTGTTTCTGCTTCTGTTTGTTAATCTGTACAGTATTCGTTATCCAAAATTCACGGGGCCGTCTCCGGCGTCACCGCCGGAAAATCCGGTGATTCTCTAACCGTCGCCAGTTCCAGCGCCGGAAACCGGATCTCCATCCGATGCTCCGGCGAGTTCACCGGTTTTTCTCACCAGCACCTTCGCCTCAGATCTGAAAAAGCGCGTCGTCGGCACCGACTCCGCTTCCGCTCCGAGGCCAGCGCAACAGAAGCGGGGCGATGTGAACCACAGTGATTTGAATACGAATGAAGATGGAAAGGAGACTTCTGGCGGCGGTGGTGGAATGAATGGAGGGAAGAAAGCGGGAGTTGTGGTGGCGGTTGTAGTGGCAGCGTGTTTGGTTGGGCTCGGAGGGATGGTGTACAAGAAGAGACGAGACAATATAAGAAGATCTCAGTACGGTTACGCAGCAAGAAGAGAGATTCTGTGAAGTGGAATTAATGGTTAGAGATTTTATTTGAAATATTCGATTAATTGATTGTTGGTATTTAGTTAATTTCGATTGGTATTGATATAAATTGTCATTGATTCTTGATTCTTTGTCAATTTTGGATGATGTAGTTTGATGAATGATAATAATAATAATATGCAGTGTATTAGTATTTGTTGATTTAGAATTTATATGAACATGGTTAGATTTTGGTAGAGAAAGTGTGAGATGCTGGATGCGTATTGTATTATTACATTCACACGCAGAGCCAGTACGAGTACTAGGTGTGTCTTATTGGGTATTCATTAGCCAATCTGCAGTTGATGTTGTTAGGTTTGTCTGTATTTTGTTGCGTAATTTTAGAGGAGTACTAGTTGGAAGTAGGAACACCTTCTTTCTCACTCTGGCAGTATATTTATTGTTTAATAATGGCGTTTGAGTATTGCTTTTCCCACATGGCAACTTAATTGCTAAGCATATGATTGCATTTACTTTAGGTTGGGTCCTCCTCCATCATTCATTAAGCACTGTTTGGACCGAATTCGTTTCTCCTAATAGAATATAAAAATTATTAAATTAAATTTACTGTTCTATGGTGTATTTATGACAAGGAAATTACATCATATAAAGTTCAGAAACGAGGTTTTTTTTTTGGGGATAAAATTTTCAACTGACATAAAAAAAATGGTGCCAGAAAGAAGGGAATATTCAGTGAAAAGAGTGATAACAACGTGAAATCCTAATTTTGGTTTAAAGGGAAGAATGCCATTTAATTTTATATTGATATTTGAGATTGTTGTAAATGAATGATGTTAAATTTATGAGCAAACAACATGTTCCCACCCAAGGTTAAGCGAAATATCAAGTTCTCACTCCTGGTTTCATAAATTCCATTTTTTCACCCTTAAATTAACAGAAAAATATTGAATGAAACGGTAAAAGGGTAAAATAGTCTTTGAACCCACACCATTCCAAACCACACCACAATCTTCCCACTCCTCTCTCTCCCTCCTTTCTCTCCCAAATCTAGCTAACATCACCCTACCACTGTTGGCTCTTCTTTTTCTTCTTCTCCTCCTCTCCATATTCGTCTCTTCCTCCTACTTTCTTTCTTCTTCCCTCTTCTTCACTCTTCTCACTTCTCGAAATAGGTGGCTGCCTTAAGGCCATCACATTGTGGCCATATTTGGCCACAGCGTGATGGCCTTACGACGGCCAAAATCCAATAGCCTCCACCACTACTGGGATACTCCATTGTTGACCTTTGCCCTTCCAGCCATTTTGCTTTGCCGTAGACTATCATTTCCACAACTGTTGTCACTGCAGTTGTGTTTTGGAAAATTGTTGGTTGTTGGATTTTTGTGGGAGATTGAGGAGGGATTTTGATTTATGGTTGATTTGTTGGAGTGTTTGATTGTTTTTGCTGCATATTATTGGTTTTATTAGGTTGATTGATGGATTGAAGTTGGTATTTTTGAAGTTTTCTAGAACTGCCCCCAAGTGTTCGAAAAAAGTTCAAGGGATTTGCTTTTGCAAGGAGAAGGGCTACTACGCGATTAGGTTTCACAGATGTAGCTGGCTGGTGCGATTGGATAAGAGTGGTGGTGCGAAGCTGGGTGGTGATGGTGATTGTGGTTGAGTTTTGGGTGGCTTTGTGGCTGAGTTTCTGGTGTTGGGTGGTGGTGGCTAGATATTGATGGTGGTGAAAGGTGGTGGTGGTTGTATGGTGATGGTGGTTGGGTGCTTGAAATCAAAAGTCAAGGGTAGTATAGTAATGGCACACTTTTAGCTGTTAAATTCATTAACAATGTTAATTTTAGGGTGGGAATCCGAAATTTATGAAACCAGGGGTGGGAACTTTACATTTTGCTTAACCTTGGGTGGGAACATGTCGTTTACTCTAAATTTATTTACCAATTTAGATAAAATAAGTTTAAGTTACTGTAATTGTAATTGTAAACCTAGAATGTTCCAAGTTTTGGAATTTACTAACCACCTAAGCTGGATCCAGGAGCCATTCACAACTATGAAGTCCGGAAATGTTGTGGACATTTTGGTCCCCTCAATCCACAACTAATAAATCCAAGGGATGCTTTGAAGGCTATGATAACGAATTATGATAACATTCGGAACTTTGCTAAATCAGCATTATGCATGTATTAAATATTTGGTGAAATTATTCAACTTGCATATAATCCCTGGACAGTAACACCATATATATAAAAAGGTGTCAATTAATGGTAGAAAGATAATATGTTAACTAAAATGGGAAATGGTTGACAACCTCATTTCTTAATATGAAAGGCAAAGCCTAGGTTAAGCAAGAGACTTCATTTTCTCATCAGTTGGCACAATGTCAAGTCAATCCTCCTTTGAAATTTAACCTCATACATGATTATTTCAAGCTTATCCATCTGGAGGGAAGGGGATTGTAACGAGGAAAGCCATTTGGAATTCTATTAAAATTTAAAACTGATAAATGTAACCTTTACTTCAGTCAGTGCATAGTGCAAGCCAATTTGCTTTTCCACCTAAAATGGTGGGCGGCTCTCAGGATTCACATTTCACAGAGAGAAAGGCAAAGGCTGTGTGTCCCTCACTTATTCTATACATTAGCCACATTACCATTTTGTCTTGCCTACCCCAATAGTTTGAGCACAAGGAGAACAATAATAAATAATGCATTTGCATTTTGTAATGTCAAATTAGACAAAGAATGGGCCAGGCTGCTTCTTTGACTATCGGTTTAACAATATGATTGGCTTTAGGAGGTTTGTTTTATAAGCAACTCTTTGACAAGTTTAGAAGGATCAACAAGGTTAAATTATGTATTTTTACATCTAAAATTTGAATTCTCGAAGACATTTGGTTGTGTCAGTATGTTATAAACTTTAACCATGATATATATTTTAGGTTTTATTAAAGAAGAATCAACATATTTTTCATAAACTATAGATAAAATGTGACACAATCTAAGTAAGATATGTGGTCACTGTCAAATTTAGCCAGCAATTAAACACCACACCACCACCTACACAACCACAAACACAGTTGGAAAAAGGCAACAATAACTATCAAACTAACATTTTCCCCCCAAACCAATCAACCTTGTCACAACTATCCCATTTATTTTTTCCTTTGCATTTAAGTTATCTAAACCAAATAAGAGGATATGGTTGTAATTAGCATTAAGAAGACAAGATTATTAAAAGAGTAAACGACTTTTTTCCCACCCAAGGTTTGCCTTAATGACATTTTTCCACCCTAGAAGTTCCAAAATATCACTTTCCCGCCCAAAGTTAATATTCTGTTATGAATAATACTTTGGGTACTAATGGATGGGTACTAATTTGTGTACTAACTAAAGCATAGTACCCGTACTATGTGCATAGTACGGGTACTATGCTTTAGTTAGTACACAAATTTGTACTCATCCATTAGTACCCATAGCATCACTCTTCTGTTATTATTTAAAGCCGATTCCAACGTAAAAAATTATCTTCATCACCATTGTTTGAATCTCTAGTCTTCTTTCTAGAAAACTCCTCTCACTCCGGCACTTAATTTCTCGTCGATTATCAGTCACTGCAAAGCTAGAGTTTCCTATTCTTAGTTGATTTTTGACTGATTCCGATGGCGAATATTCAATCATTCACCACCATTCGATCTAGTGGCCTCCACTTTACAAAACCTTTCTTATCTTAGCTCTTGGTAACTCGCCGAATGTCTGTTGAAAAAGTGAAGTTTATTTTGGGCATTAGCGAAATATAAACTTTGAGTGAGAAATGGGTATTTTAAAACTTTTTAGGTGGGAAAATGTCATTAAAGCAAACCTTGGTTGGGAAATAGTCGTTTACTCTAATTAAAACCATGGTTTGGGAATGTTGGTATTAGTTAATAAAATCTATGGGCGTCAGTGATATTTTGTGAAACATAAGGTGTCTCATTGTGAGGTTGAAAGTTAGAGACATCCCACAAAAATAACCGCTCCCCAAATTCAAAACTAACCAAACCAATACATAAATTTATATGCACCGACTTTACGTATACCCAACTCTGCACTCTAAAATCTCACCCGGCATTCCCCGTGCCCCCTCTCCTCTTCTTTTTATTACTCATAACCTCCCTTTCCTTCTCCTTCAACTCCTCCACAAATCTCTCTCTTTATCTAAAATCTTCATTTCAATCCCCATTCCACGCGACGCCTTTTTCAATATTTGACCTCCTTATCATCTACGCTTTCAGATCTACGTCCTTTAAAAACCCTCAGATCTGCATTACATTAACAAACACTTGTACTTCACTCTTCACTTCTCAAACTCAGTGAGCAATGGTGATGGCTAAATTCTTCTGTTTCTGCTTCTGTTTGTTACTATCTGTACAGTATTCTTTATCTCAAAATTCACCGGGGCCGTCTCCGGCGTCACTTCCGGGAACATCCGGTGATTCTCCTCTACCGTCGCCAGTTCCAGCGCCGGAAACCGGATCTCCATCCGATGCTCCGGTGAGTTCACCGGTTTTTTCTCCACCAGCACCTTCGCCTTCAGATCTGAAAGACGCGCCGTCGTCGGCACCGACTCCCTCTTTGGCTCCGAGTCCATCGCCAACATCAGCGGGCGATGTGAACCACAGTGATTTGAATACGAATGAAGATGGAAAGGAGACTTCTGGCGGCGGTGGTGGAATGAATGGAGGGAAGAAGGCGGGAGTTGTGGTGGCGGTTGTAGTGGCAGCGTGTTTGGTTGGGCTCGGAGGGATGGTGTACAAGAAGAGACGAGATAATATAAGAAGATCTCAGTACGGTTACGCAGCAAGAAGAGAGATTCTGTGAAGTGGAATTAATGGTTAGAGATTTTATTTGAAATATTGATTGTTGGTATTTAGTTAATTTCGATTGGTATTGATATAAATTGTCATTGATTCTTGATTCTTTGTCAATTTTGGATGATGTAGTTTGATGAATGATAATAATAATAATATGCAGTGTATTAGTATTTGTTGATTTAGAATTTACATGAACATGGTTGGATTTTGGCAGAGAAAGTGTGAGATGCTGGATGCGTATTGTACTATTACATTCACATGCAGAGCCAGTACGAGTACTAGGTGTGTCTTATTGGGTATTCATTAGCCAATTTGCAGTTGATGTTGTTAGGTTTGTCTGTATTTTGTTGCGTAATTTTAGAGGAGTACCAGTAGGAAGTAGGAACACCTTCTTTCTCACTCTGGCAGTATATTTATTGTTTAATAATGGCGTTTGAGTATTGCTTTTCCCACATGGCAACTTAATTGCTAAGCATATGATTGCATTTATTTTAGGTTGGGTCCTCCTCATCATTCATTAAGCACTGTTTGGACCGAATTCGTTTCTCCTAATAGAATATAAAAATTATTAAATTAAATTTACTGTTCTATGGTGTATATATGACAAGGAAATTGCATCATATAAAGTTTAGAAATGAGGTTTTTTTTGGAAAATGATACAGACTGAAAAAAGGATAGCGAATTCATGCATCGATAGATGTGGCATTATTATGACTGTTGATTAATTATGAATTGTCACGTTTGTTCGATGCATGAATTCAATATACTTTTTCTTGCTCCTTTTTTTTTTTGGGATAAAATTTTCAACTGACATAAAAAAAAATGGTGCCAGAAAGAAGGGAATATTCAGTGAAAAGAGTGACAACAACATGAAATCTTAATTTTGGTTTAAAGGGAAGAATGCCATTAAATTTTATATTGATATTTGAGATTGTTGTAAATGAATGATGTTAAACTTATGAGCAAAGGACATGTTCCCACCCAAGGTTAAGCGAAAGGAGTAATGCTATGCTTACTCACAATTTTACTAACCATCTTACAAACCTGGAAAATATAACGGCATAGTACGGATACCATACGTATAGTACCCGTACTATGCCGTTATATTTATCAGGATAGTAAGAGGTTAGTAAGATTGTGAGTAAGCATAGTTTTATTGTAAGCGAAAGACCAAATTTCGTTTTCTCACCCTTAAATTAACAGAGAAATGTTGAATGAAATGGTGAAAGGGTAACATAGTCTTTGAACCCACGCCATTCCAAACCACACCACAACCTTCCCACTCCTCTCCCTCCCTCCTTTCTCTCCCAGATCCAACTAACATCACCCTACCACTGTCGCCTCTTCTTTTTCTTCTTCTCTTCCTCTCCTTCGTGTCTTCCTTCTACTTTCTTTCTTTTTCCCTCTTCTTCACTCTTCTCACTTCTCGGAATAGGCTCCGCAGTGGCTAGATTTGGACGCCTTAAGGCCATCACGCTGTGGCAAGATTTGGCCACAGCGTGATGGCCTTACGATGACCAAAATCCAAGAGCCTCCACCTACTACCGTGATACTTCATTGCTGACCTTTGCCCTTCCAGCCATTTTGCTTCGCCGCAGACGACCATTTCCACAACTGTTGTCGCTGCAGTTGTGTTTTGGAAAATTGTTGGTTGTTGGATTTTTGTGGGAGATTGAGGACGTATTTTGATTTCTGGTTGATTTGTTGGAGTGTTTGATTGTTTTTGCTGCAATTATTGGTTTTTCTAGGTTGATTGATAGATTGAAGTTGGTATTTTTGAAGTTTTCTACATCTGCCCCCAAGTGTTCAAGAAAAGTCCAAGGGATTTGCTTTTGCAGGGAGAAGGGCTACTGTGCGATTGGGTTTCACAGATGTTGCTGGCTGGTGCGATTGGATAAGAGTGGTGGTGCGAAGCTGGGTGGTGATGGTGAATGTGGTTGAGTTTTGGGTGGCTTTGTGGCTGAGTTTGTGGTGTTGGGTGGTGGTGGCTGGATACTGATGGTGGTGACAGGTGGTGGTGGTTGGATGGTGATGGTGGCTGGGTGCTTGAAATCAAAAGTCAAAGGTAGTATAATAATAGCACACTCTTAGCTGTTAAATTCATTAATAATGCTAATTTAAGGTGAGAATCTAGAATTTATGAAACCAACTTTACATTTTGCTTAACCTTGGGTGGGAACATGTCGTTTACTCTAAATTTATTTACCAATTTAGATAAAATAAGATTAAGTTACTGTAATTGTAATTGTAAACCTAGAATGTTCCAAGTTTTGGAATTTATTAACCACCTAAGCTGGATCCAGGAGCCATTCACAACTATGAAGTCCAGAAATGTTTTGGACATTTTGGTCCCCTCAATCCACAACTAATAAATCCAAGGGATGCTTTAAAGGCTATGATAACGAATTATAATAACATTTGGAACTTTGCTAAATCAGCATTATGCATGTATTAAATATTTGGTGAAATTATTCAACTTGCATATAATCCCTGGACAGTAACACCATATATATAAAAAGGTGTCAATTAATGGTAGAAAGATAATATGTTAACTAAAATGGGAAATGGTTGACAACCTCATTTCTTAATATGAAAGGCAAAGCCTAGGTTAAGCTAGAGACTTCATTTTCTCATCAGTTGGCACAATGTCAAGTCAATCCTCCTTTGAAATTTAACCTCATACATGATTATTTCAAGCTTATCCATCTGGAGGGAAGGGGAAAGGGGAAGTCTTATCATTATTGTAGGTAGAGACACACGTGATATCTTTAATAAACTTGAAAGAGTATGATGGTCCTTCAGCTTTGTGAAGAACACACTCTTCTCAAATTGGCGGGGAAACAGTTGAGGTTTTGGTCGGATTTGTTTTATTAATGTTTTTGATCAATCACACAATTCACAAAGCCACTCTACGTCTAAAAGGCGACGACTCATTTTCAAGGTTATTGTTCCAATGATCCAGACCAACAAAAGATAACTTAATCTATCTTCAACTATGAGTTGATTTATATACTTATCCAACAAAACATTTTGTAAGTTAATCTATAACGCAAATGCTTAAGGAAATACTAGATTTACTATTGACGGGAGTGTTACAACATCATTTGTAGACCAATTGAGGAACAAATGATGCTCCGCTTTTAACTTATGTAATGCTTGTTCCTATGGGAAAATTTCCCAGGTCCTGTTCTTACTGTCTAATTCTTTTTATAAACCCATGTGGGTTTCAATGTACAACAGGATATGTATGGTGATCTCCCTTCAATTGTGTCTTTATTATGTTACCTACCAGAACCACCTGAAATTACTCATCAGCGGGAGGGTCCACCCACCGCCCGTGATCTTTTATCAGCTGAATCAACGCGTCTGTTGCTTGCTCCATCGCAATTCCACGCTTCACCACAGTCTGCATTACAAATTCAACTTAAAATCATAACAAGCTTTAGTTTTTAAGGCAATGAAGTGCTTCAGGAAATTGCACGTCCTGATTTATTCTTTCTTGATTAGACATGTAACTAGTTCAGTTTCCATGAAGTGCATGATTTTCAATAATCACATATTTATATATTTCAATGATACCCATTAAAGTTCCAGGGCTACAAAGCTGCAGTACCTTCCCAACATATAAGTCAATCTTTCCAGGAGACCCACCAACGTATCCAAAGTCTGCGTCAGCCATCTCCCCAGGTCCATTGACAATGCAACCCATGATTGCAATCTGGCAAAGAGGGAAAAGAAAATAAATTATACTGCTGATCTTGATTAGCAGAATAAACATCATCTAATCAGTCAAGAGTCACAAGTAAATACTGAAACGCCTGGCAGATGATCTGTTTTTTCTCGTATCTCTGCACTTATTTCTTGAAGGTCAAATAAAGTTCTGCCACATGACGGACATGAGACATACTCCTGCACGAGATTCAGGCAACACATAATGATCAATACCATCATTAGCTTTGAGATGTTAAATTTTATTCATTTTAAAAATCGATCTCCATACCGTCTTTGTATTTCGCATTCTGCAACCTTGTAGTAAGTTGAAAGATGTATTCCTAAGAAAATCGAAATCCTGGCCAGGGCCTTCCAACAGGACACCATCACCAAGTCCATCTACTAGAAGGGCTCCTGCATTAGCTCCAGCACCAATTACCAAGTCATCCCTGAAAATAGGACAAAGAGTTTAAGCCATAACTATTTATACCTCCATCTTATCAACAAGTTGTAACGGTTTTCCAGTTACCTGTGAATCCCATTTGGAAACTGAATATGGTGAATTACAGGGAAGTTTATATTATTTTCTGCTAGATACTCAAAGAGCCTGCAGCAAGATGAAAACTTGGATCATTAGCACAAGGAAATAAGTGCACAGGGCATTGAAGAATGCCATTCTATATAAAATAGTGAAATGGAAGGATACAACTCAGTTCAATATGATCATATGGCTTCCCAGGAAAATGCACCAGGTCACACCTCTAGACACCATCTCAGGGATCTAATTAACTTAAAGAAGAATAATAACTCAGTCTCGAAAGCAAAAGCATCAGGGAACATCAGCAATCTTAAACATAACCTACTTTTTCTCCCTCACACCCACACATACATGGAAAGCAGACTTGCATTCATCATATAAACTTTGACTTTAGTAAATAGGGAAATCCAAAAGAGCTAGAGTAATTTGTTTAGGGCAGACAAGGGTCATATCTGAACCAATTGAAAGACGGATTTTAGAAGGCAATGTTCTGCTTGAATATGTCATTCGTTGATCAGGGAAATATCACAAACATGCAGCTTGCATTTTTTCCCCCAATAACTGGGCAATCAAACTAATAAATTGTTATCCAAAAATCGATCAGGATTGATATTCCAATATTGTAGCCTTATTTAACTAATAAAAGATTTGCATATTTAGAAGTCAGTAACATTTTTACCTCCTTGCAGCATGCACTCTACCAATTTTATCTTCAGTAAAGGGTAAATCATGAAGAATCATAGTCGCATCAATGTCTTTGAGGATTTCCAACTCTTCATAGGGTTCATCACCTCGTAATGACACAACCAAACGTGTTCCTTGAAAAAAAAAAATATCAATGTGATATGAGCATCAATTTCAGCAGATATATGAAATTTGCTCACCTTAAGGATAAAACAAACAAAAGAAAAACAAGGAAAAAGATATTCTTAATGAACCCAATCCAGAAAACTGTGATAAAGCAACACCTTCTGGCAAAAGCTTGTAAGCACCGGTTGATAACTCCTTTAGATTTACCAGAGCCATGGCATTGGGCAATGGTTTTGTCAGCTGCTCAGACAAAGGAGTTATAACCCCCATACTTATGTCTATCAACCGCTTGAGAGCCAGACGCTGGTAACAATACAAAAAAATATTACAAGTCATGTCATTTATTCCAATCAA